TGCATGCGAAGTGATACACTCCAGCAAGCAGTGAACAGACAGGTTCCTTGCACTGGAGGGCCTTGATGATTATGTTATCTGGGCGGAAGGTGGCTGTGTACCTACTAATGAGAGAGACTGGAGCACCTCCAAATGATATATAACAAAAGATGACCAGTCAATGACTAGAGCAACCATAGCACCAACCACTAGTTGATGACCAAGGAATAGGGGTAGTCTGACGGTGGAAGGCGCGGGGGTACTAGGATACGGAAGTTCGCAGGAAGAGCGCCGGCGTGGCGGGTGATATCCTGGAACCTAAACGCGCCTTGATAGCCCAGCACCATCCGTCGCCATGAACAGGAACTCCCGATCTTGCAGCACCTGTAGTTATACTGCGGTTCCATGACACGTGGGCAGCCGGCCAGGGAAGCACTGTAAGGTCGCTGTACGAAAGGATTAATTGGGGCGAAGCAAAGGCATCAATCAGCACCCTCCCCTCCAATGTGGCAAGCTTTAGACGGATTGTACAAGTGGACCTAATCGGTCTGCAATAGTGTTCTCCGGACATCCTCGTTGTGGTAGACTCCATCTTCATCTGGGAGGGGGAATGCTGTGAGGGCACTGTGGAGGATTGATGTCAGTCTCAAAAAAGGAGCAGTTGCCCGCGTTGGCATTGAGACATGCAAACCGCAACTCCATGCAACTAGATACAATCACAGATTCTCCGACTCCAAGGCTCAATCCTACCAGTAGAGCACCCTGATATGGCCCTCGATCTGGCCAACTGGACATGGACTCTACAGATGGCCTACTGCATGCTGCTGCCGGGGGTGAACTTGGCAGATAAGGTAGAGGCACGCTGTATGAAACATCTTAACGTACTGAAGGATTCCCTGCGGCCGATCAAATGTTTCCGGGCAAGCAAGACGGCACGAGCGAAATTGGCCTCCCTGCAATGGTAAGTGGAGCATAGATGCTTGCCCACAGATGATTGACTAATTGACAAGACAAAGTTAGAATTGAGGGGGCTCGCCCTTCCCTGTTGCAAACTCTGTATGGCATCTTTCCCCTCATGAAAGTGGCCAGAAACATTTGAACACATCTTCTTACAGTGCCTGGGTGCTGTCTCTCTTTGGAGATGATGGGACCGCCTCTGGACCTAGCTTCTCTGTCCCTGGGATTGGAGAGCCCTGCTCTGCGAAGTGTTGGTGCCCAGAGCAAGCTACTGCCTTTGAGGTCAACATGTTGAAAATTGGGCGCAGAGCAGTTATGTGGGCAATATGGCAGCGGAGATGTACTTTCAAAATGGAAGGGGCACGCCTAGATGGGGCCGAATTTGTGTGCTCGATTAAAGAACACATCCAACAAGATATCCCAATACAATGGGAAAGGGTAAAATCGACAGTCAACTTCACACTGAAAGGATCAGCAAAGACTGGCTGGGGGGAACACAAGGGGGATGGACTGCAGAGGTATTATTGAAGGGAGGAGAGAAAGGGGAAGGGGAGGTAGTAGAGGAGGATGGGAGGGATTATTGCCTATGGCTCCATGACTGGGCGACAATTGATCCCTCCATCCCTCTTCGCCCCCCTCGCAGACTTTGTGGACCTCTTCCCACCACCGGAGATGGCTTTGGTGGACATGCAATGGTATGGGGGAGAGTAGATGGTACAATGTTTTAATGTGGGAATCTATCCGAAGAAGTCACAGTTTGCAGGTTTTGAGTGGCATAACAGGTACAATGATTGTTTGCCTATTAGCAGAAAAGGCAGAAAGGGAGGATGTTGAATTGGTCCTTGCTGAGGTTGCAGAAGATACAGGTTGCAGACGGCTTTTCCCCAGTCTAGAATGCATAGCACTTGAATGGCATAGTTCTCACCTGGCGCCCAGCAGAAGGGTGAAGAGGTGCTGGCTGCGTTCTAAGTTTTTCTGGCCCACTACTCTCAAACTCTTACATTGTATCATCCCTGCTACATTCTTCCTACACTCTAAAAAAAGTGCTAGGGTTCAGGGTTTAAGGAATGATGAGTGACTGTGAGTAGATGAATAGCAGCAAAAATAAGTCGCAGAAGGTATTTCTCTTGCTTAGAATGCAGGGTACTCGCTCTCTACAGAACACATCTGGCACCCGGTAGAGGGGCGAAAAGGGGCTGGCTGCACTCTTTGGTTCACAGACTGCCCACAAGGAGCTCAGTCCAAGTACTCTCATTGTTACATGCTGCGCCTGCAACATGCTGCGCCTGAAACGAGGGCCATTTTCAGGCCCTGTGTTGTTTTCAGCCTAAAAGCCTGAAAACAAGGGCCTACAGGCCCTGTGTCGTTTTCAGCCTAAAAGCCTGAAAACAAGGGCCTACATGCCCTGTGTCGTTTCAGCCTGAAAGCCTGAAAACAAGGGCCTGCAGGCCCTGTGTGAGGAACAAGCCCTCAAGTGGCCCTATCAGACATCACATTGTTCTGGGCTAAGGCCCCAGCAAGCCAAGTGCCCGCCCTAAGTGAAGGCGGG